CTTGGTGCAGCGCGCGCAGCGGTCTCACAGGCTGGTACTTATTTCCGGCAGTCCGCGGGAGACCCGGGATGTCACCCCAGCACCACAGAGAAAGGCAGAGGCACTGCAGTTGCTGCGTGAAGCAAACGGTTGGGCGGCCACCGCTGTTTTTATTACATTTTTTCTGTGTGCACTTGAGCGCATGTGGAAAAACAGTTGTTTCCATCAAGTGGTCCCTGGGACCAACTCAAGTCACAGCTGGCGTCTGGCGCCTTTTACCCGATCTGTGTCATACTGGCCAAGGAATCGCAAGCTTTAAGGCAGAAGTGCACACTGCTGGCAAATGGGTTGGATTCCTGGCGGGAGATGACGACGGGGAGGAACGCAGAGTCTGGGAGTGTAGATCAAACACCTTTCCCACCTCCCTGCCCAAACAAAACCAGAACTCAGTTTGCATCATAAAGTTTATTCCCGATGCGGGACAGATTCTTTTCATTTCCCCCAAATTATCACATGTTGCCCTGGATAGGTCTAGGAAGCTCTCACCATCTCCAGGGAAGGGCGAGAAGAGCAGAGACCAGGAACGTTTCACAGGTCCCAGCTTCCTCCCTTCTCAACAGAGGACAGTTGTTCCGTCTATTATCCCTTTCATCCATTCAATTAAAAAGAAAAAAAAATACATTAACAAAACGAAAACACCTGAAGCACTTGCCGGGGGTGTCCTTGTCCTCAGCTGGACATCACGTTAGGGGTCACCAATGGGAACGGAACGGGAGGAGGGGGAGAGGGCATCACTGTTTCTGCTGAAGGGCTTCCTTCCTGGCTGCATCCTGCAGCAGCTGCGTGTCCACCTCGTCTGCCGGCAGCTGCACGTACCGGACCACCGAGCCCCTGATGAAGCAGTTCTTGACTGACAACTGGAAGCAGATAAGAGTGAAAGCTCCTCCGTTAAGAATCCTCCAGCCACCCAGGGGCTTTAAAGCGTTTCTCTTTCTGGCCAGCCCCAACTCACCATGTGAGGGTACTTCTCAGGGTCCGTGACGCTGATGTCGGTGAGTTTGATATTGAGGTACTGAGAGAGAGGAGCAGCGCCATTAACTCCAGACACTCCACCCCCCTCTCCCACTTCCTTCCCCACAACAGACTGAACCGTTACTGTCTCACCTGGTCCACAGAGTGGAGGGTTCCACAGATGCTGTCAAGGGCAGAGGGAAGAACAGAGTTAATACACCCTGAAATCAGCACGGAGGGAACATCAAAAATAGAACAAGAATGTAGGGGACAAGTCAAGGCCTGAAAGCCAGAGAAAGGAGAGCCAACAGATAGCATTGCGATTCTGAGAGGAACGGGAAAAGCCTCTCAGAATGATCATTTCAGAACCAAGTCTCTCTCCTCACACCAACACATCAATAGCTGCTACTCAACAGTTGCACAACAGGCCTGTATTCTGCTTAATATTTATGTTTCCTTGTTAAGACAGGTTCTCACGCTGTGACCCAGGCTGATCTCAAACTTGTGGCAATCCTCCTGCCCCCACTTCTGAGGTTATGTAACTACAGACAGGAGCCATCGTTTATAGTCAACTTTTTTATGTTTATTTTTCCAAGACAGGATTTCTTTGTGTAGCTCTGGCTGTCCTAAAACTACCTGTGTAGACCAGGCTGGCCACAAACTCACAGAGATTCACCTGCCTCTGCCTCCCAAATGCTGGAATTAAAGGCGTGTTTTTAATATTGATTTTATTATTTGTGACTTGTGTGCATGTAGGCACCTATTGAGGCCAGAAGAGGGCATCAGATCCCCGGAAGTTAAAATTACAGTTAGGCGGCCCAAGCAACAGGTGAACTACATAATGGAGTAGCTGGGAACTGAACTCTAGTTCTCTGGAACACCAGCAAGCTTTTATAACCACTGTGCTATCTCTCCAGCCCTACCTATTTCTAAACACCTTATTTTATACTTATCTACTTTTTAACAATCTTAAACCTGCTGGGTGTTGGTAGCGCACATGCCTTTAATCCCAGCACTCGGGAGGCAGAGGCAGGTGGATCTCTGAGTTTGAGGCCAGCATGGTCTACAAACAGGACAATCAGGACTATTACACAGAGAGACCCTGTCCTAAGAAAAGACGAGAGACTACAGCATGTGTTGAAGTTCTGTTGGCAGAGTGCTTGCTGAGCACTGGGTTCGTCTCCAGCACCACATGAGAGAAACTAATCTTCCAAGAGTGTCCACTAGGAAGTAGACTCTAACAGATGGACTGATGTGACTAAGATGGCCAGAAACACCTCTGCAGTGACACAGCGTTTAATCCAAGTCTTAAACAGCTAAGACTCAGACAGACAGGGAGGCAAAGGATGCAGACACAGCAAGAAGGGGCCGAGTTGGTCTTCTGTTTGCATTTCCTCTAACTAAATGGGCATTATATCATACACTCTATATCTGCTTCCCCTACCAATACTCACTCCTTTGTCAACGGGTTTTATTATGGAAGTACGATCTTTTGAATTTTAATTAACCTCTTACATTTTGAGGGATTAATGCTACCTGAATCATTTATTTGTTAGTTTGTTTTTGGTATTTCGAGACAGGGTTTCTCTGAACCTCTGTAGGCCAGGCTGGCCTCAAAATCAGAGATCTGCCTGTCTCTGCCTCCAGAGTGCTGGGATTAAAGGCCCGAATCAACACTGCCTGGCACATGTTTTTTAGAGACAAAGATACAAACATCTTGGTATATTTTTTTCCAAGAGTACAATAATCATATTTATTAGCATTTTATTATTTATTTAGCATATTTTAAAGAGCACAGTCGAGTCCACCTGGAAATTTTAGTTACTTGTGTAACAAATTCTTTTCTTTTTTCTTTTCCCAAGACAGGGTTTCTCTGGCTGTCCAGGAACTCACTCTGTAGATCAGGCTGCTCTTAATGCTCACAGAGATCAGAGTGCCTCAGCCTCCCGAGTGCTGGGGTTAAAGGAGTAGGCCACTATGCCCAGCAATCTTAAAACCAATCTTTACCCCTAAGGCACAAGCTATTTTTCTTCTGTGTTTGGCCCACCTGCTCTCTCAAATAACTTTGGGAGGGAAGAGCTGGTTCAGGACCCCGGGCACCCAACCTCCCCCCTCGCCTTCCTCAACCTGGCTGCTAGCGGTACCTACCTCAGGTCATTCTTGAGTTCCACGACCACATCCTTGCCCACAAGGGATTTGAAAAAGGAGTAGAAGAGCTATTGGAAAAAGGAGGGGGAAAGCATCTCATGAGAAGAGCAGGGAGGAGGAACCCCGTGCCCAGGATCTTTGTGGCCCCACCGACTGATTCTAGGTCTCGAAAGCGCACGACCAACAACAATCTCTCCACAGATACTCTGCGTCCCGTCCGCCTCCCGCAGGGAATCTGCACATTCTCCCCGGGGAAACGCAGAGCGCATCCCAGCCGCGCCCTCAACCGTCCCGCTCCCGCTGCCCGGGGGAGGTGCAGGGCCAGCGCCGCGCTCCGCGGCTCTCTCCTGGCTCTGCTGGGAGCTCTGCCCAGAAAACCACTTGTCCTAGCAGTGCGGGGCGGTGCGGGAAGGAGGTTGCTAAGTGCAGCCAGAGCGAGCGGCCGGCCCGGTTCGAACGGCCCGCGGCGCCGGCGCCCGCTTTTGACGT